TTAAATGTGGATTTGAGACGCAATAAATGCTCTAAGATAGGTATGGCCGTCGTTTGAGCTTTTCAACTGGAAAGATGAAAGTTTGACTTTATCCAGTCGTTTCGTTCACCCTTTCACACTGATAAGCGACACGTGGCCGAGATCAATGGTAAGGAAATCCAAATGCTGATTCACACGCTATAAAAACCTCAAATCGTTCTCAGGCAATGTCACCAGAGCCTTTTTCATAGAAAGCAAAAGATTTTCATAAACCTGGAACCTTTGTCTTCCAAACCTGCATTTTTCCGACATTTGAAGCAGAAGCTGTTGTCATACTCCAAGAGGTAAGAACTTCTCTGTCGTTACTTCATTATTTTCATGGGTTAATGGCGTCAGTCTTCCGGTAACCCATTGGAGACGAGACGCTTGTGTCGAGTTCGAGCCATGAATGGTGGCTCGAATCATGCTGTTAGGGCTTTCTTTCGGATTTATGGAGTTTGTTTCCTCCCACGTCATCGTACGAAATAGCGTACAGTGGCTAAATGACCCTTCTGCTTTTCGCTTTTGCAAACTGGCAAAATGGACCCCTCAGCAACCAGATTCGAGCAGGGAACCAGCTCGTCCCTACAGGGTGCTCCTAGCATCCCTCTCGAGGTCTTCTCAGTACTTATCGAGGACGAGCTTGAGAGGGTAATAAGTCAGTATGGTATCGAGGTGGACGTTTTCCACGACCTGACGCATTCGTTGCAATATCCGTCAAGCGGCCTGGCCGTGATCTCCGAGGAGATTATCAAGGGTGGGGGACTGATCCCCTTCCACTCTTTCATAAGGTTGTTTCTGGACCACTTCGGGGTCGCACTGATGCAGCTGACTTCGAACATGTACGTCATTGCTGTTGCAATGTACATCGCATGCCAGGAGAACGGGCTGGGCGAGCTGACCGCTATGTAGCTTGGCTGCTCGTATTTCTGAAAAAGAGCAAGGACAAGGATTCGTATTACTTGTCCAGGCGACCTACTATTGCCGACGGGATACACAGTTATCCCAGCAACGCGGGGGCCTACGAAACGAAGTTTTTATTCTTTTGCTACGATGGCCATTGCCGCTTCCAGGAACCGAGTAGGCCTATTTCTCTTTGCTTGTTTTTTGTTTTGTTTTGGTGAACTCGTTGCGTTCGAAGTGTGTTTGCTCTAACGACTTGATTTCTTTCTAACAGTTAACAAGACGACCGACCTAGGGCTGCTCTTCGATAGAAGAAGAATCGTGCACTTCGGCTCCCTACCCGAGGATAAGCGTGACGCGAAGAAACTCGTGACGACATTTGCAAAAATACGGGTTCTTCAACACAAACGCATCGTTAGAGCCTCCACTGAGTAAGTCCTGCTAACTGATTATTTTTCTGGTCGTGAAATAGAATACCTTTGCTAACGATGTCTTGTATGCAGCGACCATGCCTCCGAAGGAGCTAGAGCAGCCGGGACGAAGGCCGTTCAATTTTCCTCGGTCGAAGAAAGCTAAGGTGACCGAAGCTGCTCCATGATGCGTGTTTCTTACAACATGCAAAACTAGCAAGTGCACTAGTCGCTCAAGTAATAAAATGATGGGTAGGATATCATTCCCAAGAGGAATATTAGCAAAGCACTAAGTTTCCTAACGTTATCAAGTTGAAGAAATCGAATTCTTTGGATTGGTGGGAGCAAATTGTAATGAAAAACAACAATGAAATTAAACAAAGAATTAAATCTTAATTAAGAAAGCAAGATGAAACACAGAATATCAATTCAAGCAAAACGGGTAGGGTTTTGACTTCGTTTGGACTTTTATGGGTTAAACCTAAAAATTACACTATATTCACATTCATGCGCAATGGTTGTAAATCGAATTCACTAATATGTTAAACATACCCTCTCGGGCTATGTTTTCCTATTCATCCTTATTAACATTCCGCACCCAACAAATTGAAGGTTAATAATTCTAAATTCATTAAGCACAAGAATCCTAAATTGATTTCATTAATTCTTGAATCTATCTCTAGCATCCAATACTATAATGGTGATTACCCAAGAAGCCTAACATGAATTATTTCTCAATCTCATCATGTTCATCACATACAGCATTCAATTTCAGAGTAACACACAACCAAAGCTTATTCACATGGAAATAACACAATCAAACACTTAACCCATTTAAAATCCAAACTACAATCAAAACCCTAACCCATAAAAGATTAGTTCATAGCTAAATTAATACTACAAAAACGAAAAATAGAAATAAACAAGTTAAACATAATGAAACTGAGATGAAAGATAAGAAATCTCCCCAAAAGATGAATCTTCTAGTCAAAATCTGAACCTTCTCCCTTAAACAATCCGAAAAACTCAAAGCTTTACTCTAAGAAAAGTGTAAAAACGGCTAAACCTAAACAGCTCAAGCTCCCTTGGCAAAAGGTTAAGTTTTTCTTTTATACTTAGTCCAAAAACCCAGCCAAAACACGCACAACACGAAACTGTGCGTTTAACAAAACTGAATAAATTGACTGTCGCCGCGGCGAAGAATGAATCAGATAAGTTCGTCCCTGGCCTACTTCGCCGCGGCGAAGACATTTCCTTCGCCGGGGCGAAGCTTCTTCCTGAGTTCTGAAATTACAGAACTGCCACTCCGCTTGCTTCTTCGCTTAATTCCTCGATTCTCGGTGCTCTTCCTTGGAAACAAGCTTCATCGTGCTTAATCCTACTCCGGTACTCCCCTATCTTCTGAAATCCGCTAATTTCTGAGTAAAAAATATCCAATTTTGTGCTTATTTGCTCAAGATGTCCATTTTAACCTGAAATACGAAAAGTAACGAATTAAGAACCAATTCAGATCAAAATGCACCAGAAAGTACCTGAAATCCGACAAAAAGATCTAACAAAAAGATCTAATACATTATATGCTATGAAACAAAATTTATACATTATACATTATACCTAATGTGCTATGAAACAAAATTTATATATTATATATTATACATTATATATAATATGCTATTATTTGTAATCATTGGATATTTTGATTCATTATAATAAATAAATAAATAAATTATTATAAATATTTTTTAATACATAATAAATATGTTATATATGTATAATGTATCATATGTATTATACATTATACATTACACATAATATGTTATGAAACAAAAATTATACATTATACATTACAATAATATATCATATGTTAATACATATATAATATACATGTTATATATGTATAACGTATCATTTGATATTTCAATTCATTTAATCATTATTTAAATTTCATTACCTAATTACTCTTGTTATATTTTTATATTTTTTGTTATTTATAAAAACAAATTTTGCTTCAGGGTGGGCTAGGATGTCCTGGGCTTCCCTATATCCCCAAACAGGGAATTCGGGGATTAGGCCTGATTCGGTGATTCCTCGTTTGGGCTTTGGGGGAATCCCCTTGGGCAACTGCCTCCGGCCTTGGCCCGGCCCGTGCCTATCCCTACAGAAGAATAGTATACTATAAATTATTGTTATTAACGTTATAATAATTATAAAGGCCTATATTTTGAAGAAAAATAATGTATTAGATTAAGTATGAGATTTATAGTGGTTTTTGTAAACTGTCCTAAAAGTACCCATCCCTCGAAGATTAGAATTTGAGATTTCAAATACAGACCTATAGATTTAATATATTGGCTTTGTTCATGCGTACGATAGATTCATTTACTCTACCTAAGCGATGAGCTTCCCATTAGGTATGACATATTTAGTTGCTCTGCTCGTGTGATGTTAGAACTTGCTGGGTATGACATATTTTCCCTTGCTCTGCCTATGTGTGGGACGCCCACCAAGTATGATAGATATTCTCCCCGGTACTAGTTGTGGTGAGAGCTTCAATATCAGTTACTAATTTTATAGTATCATATTAGTTCTTATTTTTACAATATTAAAACAATTATTAGTTTATGACATTAGATCAATTATCAATTATCAGTTTTACTATATCATAAATGAAATAATAAGGTAAACCGTTATTAAGAACTTATTTTCATACTTTATGATTTTCTGAAAAAAGTTTTACAAAATCATCACTCACTGAATACTTTTAGCTCAAATTTTCCCCTCTCCCAAGTCACCACAGGGATCGTATGGAGCTGTGACTTTCGCATCGAGGTTGGGCCCACACACATCATTCCATTTTGTTCCATTTTGTGTTTAACGTTGCATATTTTGTCTTTCACTACATAGGGTCTATTACCAATGGCTTGCATTATGCGGCTGTCTTTTGGATCTTATAGGAGCGCCTTGGATCCTGTAAGATAGGGAGGGTCGGGATGGGTCCTGTCAGATTTTGTAATTTTTCATCTTCTTATGATCCGTGATCTAAGCTACTAAATCATGTATCATTTAGGAAGTTGGAGAAGGTGAATGTGACAGCCACTGATTGAGTTAAATGGCTAAAAAAGTCTTCGGTGTTTTTGGTTTCTTGAACTTTTTATTGTCTGTTGCTATAGTTTCCTTGTTCTAATTATAATATCTTGTGTTGAGATTCACGAGAAGGATAACATCTTGGTTGGTCATAGTGTCGCATTGCCTCAAATTAACACATATTTTGGGCATCCTGCCCAGTGAGGTTATGATTTGTGCTTTATGGCTGGCCCAATTTTCCTTAGCTAAGCGTTAGAATTAAAGCTCAGAACTACTGATTTCAATCTGTTCAACTTGTCTCTCAAGTTCAACTGTTATGAAATAATATTTTTTAAAAGTGATAGTCTCTGGTATCGCAATATTATTGTTGACTCAATACCAAAAGTTAATGCATGTGGTAACTATATATCAATCAAAATCAATCTAAAGATAAACGAGAAAGGAGAAAAGATGGGAAAAGAAAAAAGAAAAAAACCTCGACATAAGTTCAATAGATAGTTGCATGAATAAAGTAGTTTGAAGTGGTACTCTAGATTTTTGAATACATCTCATATGCTATCACATACTGCTATATAGACTCGTCGTTACTGACCTGTTTGGCTGTAATTTTGGTCTTTATAACGCTCAGTTTCAAACTTTCAATTGCCTGGGAAACAGGTCAGCTTAATGTAGGTGAATATCATTAGCCTTAATTAATCCATGATTATTTTTTAATGAACCTTGATTTCAAGCTTTGAAATTAAATTCTTTCCACAGAAGACGTAAGTTTAGCGCAGAGAGAACCTACCAACATATTACACGACAATGACAAGTTTGTTTGTTCGAGGAGAAAATCTAGACCACCACGAGAGCTCTTTTACTTGAACGAATCTTCAAAGGAATGATCCATTAATATCAAGGTATCTTATTCCATTTCTTGGGTCCTTATCCATTCAATGAACTTCTTGAAATTCTTGTCAGATAAACCCCCTTCTTTGACACTTTTCAATGCAGTTTCTTTGAGTTCCGAAGCTCTTGCTTTGAAATTTTCATCACCAAGCACTTGATCTACCTTGCTCTTAATTTCTTCTGGTGTGATGATCTTAGCTTTTTCTCTGTTAAATTTCAATCCTACCTTCCAAATATCACAAATGTAGCTCTCATTAATGAATTGGTCACCAAAGTACGGCCAGCACAAGAAAGGAAGCCCGTTGCTTACACCTTCCATGGTGGAATTCCAACCACAATGACTGAAGAAGCAGGCAATGGAAGGGTGACTCAAAATCTTCTGTTGAGGTGCCCAATCCACCACCCGGCCACGACTGGCTACCCTGGCTTGAAAGCCTTCTGGGTAGGCTTGATTTGCATCCTCAGTAATATCCGGCCTCACAACCCACAGGAATGGCCTGTTGGTGAGTTCAAGTCCTAGTGCCAGCTCCTGGAATTGGATCTTGTTAAAAACTGTCAAGCTGCCAAATGCAACATAAATGACAGATTTAGGTTCCTGTTGATCCAGCCATTTCAAGCAACTTGAGTCTTCTGGCCAGAAGTATCCCGCTGAATTTCCTTGTCGGTTGCTCGCTAAAAGAGGTCCAATTGGAAAAATGTTCGGAACCAAGTTGAATGCTTCAGGCTCAAGGTCATACATTGTGTTGCAAATCAGGTAGTCAGCTGTCATTTGTGTACCTTCTGTGGCCTTAACAATAAGTTGAAAAATCTTTCTCTGGCTAATTAAGTCACCGATTTTCCAGATAAATTCTGCAAAGCTGATTGTAGGCATGTTTGGTCCCAACTGTATCATATGTCGACTGTAGGTCGTAGTTCCTGAAATAATTAAAGTGCTTAAGGAAATAAATAACTGCATGGCCTAGCTACCTTTTATCAAAGCAAAGCAAAGCAAAATCAATTTCATCTCATGTTAAAAATCTAGTCTTACCATCTTTGTTAATGATTCCATCATCAATCATTTTGGGAATATGGTGGTACAAGGCCAAAGCCACCACTCCTGTCGACAAAAACGCAGCCCGCTTAATTTTCAGTTTCTCTGCTACTTGCAGTACCATTCCAACATGCAGATCAGCAATAACACAAGTGATCTTTTCATCTTCCTCTTTGTTGTTCATCTCTTGTATGAGCTCTTCCAGCTTCCCAGGCATCGCCTCTGCAAGTGAATCCCATAACTTGCCTATATCATTTCTATCCTCCCAGGGTTCCAATCCATCTGGAATCGATACCAGGCGGATTTCTTGATCATCTCCTACATGCTTCTTTTCCTGCAATGCGTTGATGACCCGTTTGTGATTATGATCTGTGTTTACAAATGTGACACTGAGGCCTTGCTTCGCTAAGCACTGTGAAAGCTCAAGGAAAGGAATTACATGGCCTTGTGCTGGAAAAGGTATTACCAGGACATGTGGACGACTCATTTTAATTTTCTGCTTTGTATGTTCTTATGAACAAATTAAACATTGGGTTCGTATATATTATGTTGGTTTCTGGTTCGATAAAGATTTGTGGAGGGGTCCTCAATATTGGGATACGTGGCTCGTATTTTTAATAGTTACCATGGAAAATTGAATTTCTTTAGGAAAATTATTTAATAACGAATACTTATAAATAATAATAGAATTATAGGTATCCTATTAAGAATTAAAATATGAATCCTTATATATATATAAGGTTATTAGAGTATGTGAGAATATAAGGCATTTGATATAAGAGTTACTGTATTAAACGCCATGATTCTTTTCGCTCTAGGTATTGTCGTGGTTAGAATTGTTTCCACTATGTTAATTATTGGTAGGAGATCATGCAGCGAAAATATACATTTGAAATAATAACATAGGAATAAAATTATACCACATAAAAAGACACGATATTTATATGGTTCAGCATAATCCACCTACATCCACGGATGAGAGAAATCCACTATAGTTTCAGAAACAGAATATACAAAAGTACACAATACCATAAATCTGGTACATAAAACAGAGCGGAAACAATCATAGTTTCTAACCACGCTTAACTCAGTACCTAGAGTGAAAACAATCTCAGTTTCTAAGGTAGTTTACCCATGGTGTTTAATAACCCTTACATTAAATACCCTATGTTCTCACATTCTCTTATGACCTTGAATTAGTTAATTCTCACCCTTATATTTATAGGTAAGATATTGGATATTCTAATTCTAATAGGTTTCATATTTCAATTCTTAATAGCACTTCTAAATTTTATTCTTATTTACAATTGTATTCTTTATTAAATAGTTTTCTTAAAGACATACAACTTCATACGGGAACAAATAGGAAAGCGAGCCACTATATCCCAACAATTTTGTACCAGGTTTATAGTATTATTTACTCTTGTGTATCGTGTTCATAAAACTTGGATTTCTCTCATTTGTAGATGTAGTCAGGTTATACTGAACCATGTAAATATCGTGTTTTTCTTGTAATGTGATTTTATTTCTATGTTATTAATATCGAATGTATGTTTTTCATTGCATGATCTCCCACCACTGAAGTCATCTCATTGATAGTTTTGTTGTCTTTCAGTATAGGTGGGTTTCTGCTTCTCTTATTGAGGCATCTGTGTAAACGGGTCCTGCTTTTGTCTTATCTTTTGACCTTTTTTTCCGAATAAACAGATGATTGAGGGTGGGACTGAATCTGTAGTTTGAATTCTTGTATTCTTAAAATCCTTCGTGTATTATTGTAATTAGTTTGATATGACATAACAGGTTGAGTAATTTGATCCGTAAGAGGAGGATTAAATAGACAGATGGACCCAGTCTCTCTCCAAATAAAATAATTGAGGTGCTTTCAGCCTGGTGCATTTGTCATCTCGATAATTAACTAGAATTGTGGGCATAAGTTTGTATTGGAGTAGGTTCAACGACTCTATTTTTAATATTTCTTATCCGTTTTATGTAATATGTAAGTCAATGAGATCAGATTCTGAAAGGCTAATGTGTTCCCTGCACGAGCATTTGATGATTATTTAATAACCCAAGTTGGGACATGAATGAGCTTAAATAATTATATTTTTTAATGAATCTCTGATCTGATATGCTATGTATACTTGTGCTGAGTGACCTGTGGCCCTGTGGGTTTGGGCTGTAATTTTGTCTTTGTTCTTCTGCAGTATACTTTCATTTTCATTGCCTGGAAACAGGTTCAACCTGACGTAATTCAGTAACTGATTTGCATGGGAATGAAATGTCCGAAAATTTTCAGAGTTCACTTCTCAATAAGCCTATTGTTGTGTGTGATTTTTCCATCAAGCTCGGTAAATTGTGAGGCAATAGATCGACCCATAATTAGTCTGACTCTACCGGTTGTCCGACCTCCGACCTAGCATGAGCTCGTCGACATATAGCTCGACTCAGCACAAGCTAGTCGCAAACAACCTGAATGATCATTCAATCAATTCCCAGATAACTTCAGATCCCAGATATCATAGGAATGACCAAATTAACAACAATCTCTGTGCAATCACAGTGCCCAATCACAAGAATATCAGAATTGCAGTTCAGATCAATTGTAATCCCTTTATTTTTGCTATTTTCTTTGTACAAACCTTATATATAAACCCCCTCAAATAATGAAAAAGGGGCTAGAAATTTTCCATAAAACTCTTATTGTAAACTCTCACAGCAAATACAAGAACAGTGGACGTAGGCATAAGAGGTTACCTAGCCAAACCACTTTAAAAATTTTATTGTCTTTTACTTTATTGTTCTTATCATTCATCCATTGCTGATTATCCTTAATCACGCCCACATCCGTTTTGATTCCACCAAGGTCAATCAGATCTCTCTGGTTGATTCTAATTTTCATATCAACATTTTGGTAGTAGAAGGAGGGCCCTTCGCCAGCATCTTGGAAATTTCGATGAACAGCCATAGCAACCTACTCAATTCAGGCTTGCGATGGTGCGTACTCGATTGAAGACTACCATCAGAAACCATGAAAATGTGGAAACCACCCATCAGGAGGTGCAATAGGATGCCGCTAGATGCTGACCACCTGTGTCGTGAACTATGCACGTCATGAATAACCAGGGGGCAAGGACGTCAAACCCTGAAAATGACTAGCTGGTGGAGATGATCAGAACAATGGTTGCGCAGGCGGTGCAACAAAACATGGTTGAGCTGAGAAATCAACAGCCAACTGCCTAGAACCTCGACCAACCATGCTTCGCCAATGCCTCCCCAAAAGGTATGAATTCAACAGGTGGCTAGTCTAACTTGTCAGCACCGAGAGGCGATCGATACCCCCGCCGTCATAAACTTCACTTCGCTCATGAGCATGAATCCCGTAGGCAAACTAACCCCGAAAGACGGCCAGGGAAGCAACCACTGGGTGAGAGCAAAGGCAACGATCACCCCCGAGATGCCCGACAGTATTCCCAACGTCAGCGTGCCAGTCTTAACCCATGCGCGAGACAGGTTCAATCCTCGCAAGCTCGCAAGGTGAGTCCTGTGTGCTAATCCGGCAATAACCGACGTTTCGATTATAACCGATGTCATGAGCAACGCACTGACGAGGATGATAGCACCTATCAACCTAGTCATCATGACTCGACTTCGAGCATCAACACGCGCAATGGAGGGGCTTCACAAGCCATGGACTTGTGAACTCACTTGCTCGAAGTTAGGCTAAACTGAGCCAGCCAGGGCAACCATAATGAAGATTTAGATCGCGTGTAGAAAATGCCCAACGATTTAATGGCCCGTCAGAACGGTGCAGTGGAAGAATAGTGAGTTCCCCCTTCACAGAGGAGGTTCACTAGGCCCCACTTCCATAGGGATTCAGGGCGCCAGAGAGTAAATTCAATGAGAGAGGGGACCTTAGAGACCACCTTGACAATTTCAATGACCTGATAGAGCTACACCAGGTCTGTGACTTGGCGAAGTGTTGCTGCTTCGCAGTCACATTAGTAGGGGATGCCAAGAGGTGGTACAAGAGACTCAAGGCGAACTCCATCAGTTCTTGGCAATAATTCTCCTCGCTTTACCTACAACAATTCAAGCGAGGAGACAATTCACAATGCCTCTTAGTTACTTGAGCAACATTTGTCAGGAAATGGATGAAACACTAACCTCGTATTTAACAAGGTTCCAGAATGAACAAGCAATGGTTATAGATGCATCTGAGGAGTCCATCTGAACTTTGCTGATTACAAGCATCAGGTCAAACATGGAGCTGTGGAAAGAGCTCCAAAGTGAAGATCACGTGAGCCTGGCCAAGTTTTACCAAATGGCTGCAAAACACTAACTAGTAGAAAGCTTGCTGGCACCATTGGCCAGAAGCTTGACGCGAGGAGCCCTAGACAGGCAACAAGATCGCCCATTAGACAAGTGTAGGGGTCAAAACCACAATGACAAGAATCGCAATAGATCCCAAAAAAGGCAGAGAATAGATAATCGCTGGGACACGTAACCTTTCCTGCGATATACAGAATATACCCCCTCACACGAGATATATCTCACATCTATGAAGTCTCTCATGAGTCAAAGAGATTGCCCACTCTACAAAGGATGAGGGGGGCTCTAGGCAGAAGAGATCGACAAAGATATTGTCGATACCACCGGGACATTGGGCACAACACCAATGAATGTTGGGCTTTAAAGGATGCCATCGAAGACCTGATAAAAAGGGGCCACCTAAAGGAATTTGTTAAGATGACACCAGCTCGCGAAAATCATGGCGAGTAAAATAACCAGGTCTAGAACCAGGACCAAAACCAGGACCAAAACTAGGCCCAGAACCAGGTCTAGTAAGCTTCGCTAAATGCCAACAACGAAGTCTGGGTGGGCATGATCTACGGGGGGGCTTGAGATAGCAAGGATCTCAAGGCGTGCTCGTGAGCAGTATGTTTGGGAGGCAAAAACAGACTCAGTCCCCTGGATAATCAGCTATGAACAGAAGCCGCCCAAGTGACCCAGACAAGAGAGCGAGGTCGTAGAGTTCACAAGCGAGGAATGTGAAGAATCCCCTTGCCACAATCATGACGCGATCGTAATCGCGACCAAAATAGACAATGCCCGAGTACAAAGGGTAATGGTTGATAATGGGAGTGCAATGAACATCATTTTCTTGGGAGCTTTCTAAGGAATGAGGTTCACAAGAGAGACCTGAGGGAGTGCCCTTCGCCGCTCTACAAATTTACTGGGGACAACCTGGTTCCTAAGGGGACAATCGACCACCTTGTGACTCTAGGGACGGAGCCCAAGATCAGGACAGTGATGGCTAAATTTTTAATGGTAGACTACCCAACCACGTACAATGTCATCCTCGAAAGGCCAATCTTGGATGACTTGAGCGCAGTCACATAAGTGCATTGCCAAGCAATGAGGTTTTCAACTCTTGAGGGAGTCGTGATGATCAGAAGCTACAGAAAGGAATCTTGGAAATTTTGCATAGAAATGTCCGCTCC